CAATTATTGCCAGGAGTGAGGTAGATCGTCGGGTTCTTCCTTTGACACTGAGGCAGTCTGAGAAACCGCTAGTGAAGGATCGTCCCGAAAGAACACTTCAGAGAAAGGCCCATTAAACCTAAGAAAACGCAAAGGGACGTCCAGAGAGTCAACCAATCGACAAGCACAAGACCTAGAAACTAGAAAAGCTTCCAAAGGACGCTCGCTCAGTGCCACCCCACAATTTCGAGGAAGCACATAAGAACAGGCCGAGATAAGCTTCAATTTGTTTTCTTCTCTGCCGTTCAAAAACCGAACACCATCTCCAGTTATGAAGACGCCTACGTCATCGCAGTGCTGATCTATGAAAATCTTCAGAGCTTTTATGCATGTTAGGAACAACGCAGCGTCTGAACGAGACAGGTCTCTTCCTCGGAAACATCCAGCAAACTCGTCCTTGGTAGCTCTTGGATCCAAAATAGAAACCACTCTCCAGAGAAACCATTCGAGCACTTCGTTGTTTTCATCCAATAAACGAATTATTTCTACTGGATATCCAAAGGTTTTGAGTTCAACACAGGACTCAAAGTCAGTAAGAACGTAGAATTTCATTATTTTTTTTAGCTTTCTTTCTTAATCTGTTCTATCAGCCAACTGTCTACGAAATCGGTAGGTGGACNCGATGGAGCTTCGTTCAAACTGGTTAATAATTTCAAGATAAGGTCAGGAGTGTTCGAGTTTTCTGCGGTGAGTTTTTGTCTCTTCAAAGACAAAGCAGTTAATGCGCAAGTAGAGGCCATCCAAGCCAATCCCGGCATGTGCAGTCGCAGTGCCACGGTGCTGACGATATAATAAGGTTCCAAGTAAGAAGGACATAAATAGATGCACAGAAACGCGTAGTAAAGAGCTTCCAAGTATTTCTTATCCAACATATACAGAAGATGAGCATACCTGCATAAAGCAAAGGAATACAACGTTTCAAACGCAAAACGTAATGGGTGCTTCAAAAACAACCCGTAGTATTTCTTCGCATCTTCAAGACGAGATAAGTCTGTATTCATCGTAGCTAGTCTATGAAAGCCTGCCAACTGTTTAAGCGTTCCATCCGGTTGACTTTCGACGAATGTTTCCATTATTCTCAACTCCTGCTCCTTGTCCCCGTATTTGAACCTGTAGCCGTTGTGCCGACTTAGAACGTGTATTCTGTTGGACGGAATATGAACAGACGGGATATTGTTACTCTCGAAAAACGGCATCTCATGAACTGGTAGAAAAAACATGAAACTAAGTTCCAAATCGAACACACCAAAGTAGTTCATCGCAGTATTCCCCCGAATGCTTCGTATTAGAATTTTCTTGCCAGGAATGCAAATTTCTTGAGCTTTGAAATTTTCAGCTGCGATGACTTCGTCATCCGCGTCCATTTGAAACCCAAACCAATGATAGTTCTTGGGTAAGTGACGTTTTGCTTGGGAATAGTTGAAATTACGAGCATGTGAAAAATCTACAAAAGGCGTTTCCGATAAATACAGCGCGATATGTGGTTGGTTTTGGAAGTAGTCCCGAATAATTTCCTTCGTTCTGTCTTTAGAACCTGTGTCCGTGATAACCGCAGCATCGATGAACTTGATAGTAGAATTAAGAGCTTGTTCGATGTTTGATTCTTCATCTCTAACGATCATACACAAAGCAACTTTGGACTCCATCTTTCTTCCTCTTTTTTTTCTCAATGCTCAACACAGCCTAACTGATTTCACCATAATGGAACTTGGTTCATCTATGCCCGAAAGACTCCCGAATGAGTAAGTAGAATTTTTCATCATGATTGTGCTCCAATAACTAATACCACTGCTAGTATTTGGGTAGAGAAACTTGTAGTCCTCTTCAGCCGACAACTGGAAACCCATCAATCCCGATGAAGTACTAGAGCTTTCACCCACTCCCAAGTTGAGAAGATACACTCCGGAAGGAGACGGATTCGAATAAGTTGTACCAATAGCAGCTGAAAAGGAGGAATAGTTGGTTTCCGCGGGCACCACAGGCTCTCCATTCGTATTCAAGTAGGAAGTGGTCACGCTCAAAGAAGGTTGATCCTGACCTTCGAAACCAAGGTCAAAGGTAGTGCTTGTCCAATTCATATAGGAAGATCCTTGA